CCCCAAAACCCCAAAACCCCAAAACCCCAAAACCCCAAAACCCCAAACAGTCAAGTTTATATTGAAGAATATATAATTTAAGAATACTCCAGGAAGGAATACACCACATCGAAAGGAGGTGATGTTCCATAATTATTTTCCAAGAAAAGATGTAAGTTTCCAATGGAGTCAACTAAAATAGGATAATCAACGATTCCACCTCTTTCTATTCTATCAAGCTTCTCGATTCTGTATTCAGTGTCTAAATCGAATCAGTATACTGCATCAGAGACCTTGTCCATCCTTTCAACTCCACCGATGAGAAGGATCTTAGATGTGGATATTTTGATGGAGCTAAATCTTCTGAGTGGGTTTGGCATAGTCAAAGACATTGAAGTAATCTTGTTCGTCTTTACATCAAACTTTTCAACACTACACAAAGTTCCAGATTCCTTGTTAAATCCCCCGAAAATAAAAATTGTCTCATCATCTAGAATACATGCTGAGCTTTGAGATCTATTGGTTGTCAGCTTCACTGAGTCGTTAGAGTACCACTTGTTCTCCTCAATATTGTAGTATTCTCAGGTATTGAGCTGAACTTTGTCATAGCTATCATACCCTCCAAAAGTGTAGATGAGACCATTGAGGTATACAGCACTGAAGAAGGTCTTTTCAGACATCTTAGCTTTGCAAACAACATTATTTATCCTTAAAATTTAGACAATTGTTGCTCCTTCCTCCCAAGATGTACATCCCATGCTTCTCATCTGTAAAGACAATTGTGAAATGAGATGAGAATTCGTATTTATATTTTCCAAGTAGCTTCCAAGTTCATGGTTCTTCAAGTTCAGGTCCTGATTTCAAGTCAAGTTTTCCAATCCTCTGACCTCCAAATTCGAACCAGAACATTTCTGGTTCCGAATTCACATACAGATTGTTGACCTCAACGTAGTTCTTGAATAAATCAGATTGGGAGAGGAAATTAGAGCTCTCATCCATATCACCACCAAAAGAATTTGAATCTTCCTTTAAGTGATGGCTTTCATTCTGGGAATTCACCATCTCTCTTGAGCTCCTCTTCTTTCTAGGTAGAGTTGAAGAAGGGAAATTCTCTTTAACCTCCTCTCTAGTGGCAATTTCTTCTTTCTTTGACTGCATGGAAACGTCTTCACTGGTGAAAACTTGTTTAGCAAGTTCAACAAAGCTAGGTCTTTCTTTCTCATCAAAATTAAGCATCATCCGAAGGATTTCTATAATATGGTTTGAATATCTTTTTGAGAGCTCTTTTAAACAAAGATCTATTGCTTTCTCTCCATCTTCAGGATTATTACAACCAGTAATATCATCGAGTAAGGCCAATTGTAAGAATACCAGTCCTGAAGAAAACACATCTGACTTGTAGATGTTGTGGGTTGCATGTCTAGAGTTCTTATCCACCATATAGGCTTGCCAGAGAGTCGGACTCAGATATTGAGGTGTACCTCTAATTGTTGCATCGGTCTCTCCTCCGTTCTCATCATCTGCGTAATAATCCTTACTTTCTCCGAAGTCAATGACTTTGATTTCACAGGATTTAAGAATGAAAAGGTTGCTTGGCTTGATATCTCTGTGACAGATTCCAATTCCTTGTAGATAGCTAAGTGTAGAAATCAAGGAGACGATCATTTTCTCCAGCTCTTCTTCCTTCCAATATGGTCCCTTCTTATGTCTCTTCCTATAGACTTTTTCTAGGTTAGTAGTGTCATCGATGAGTTCAATTACAATCGCAAGTCTGAAAGTTTTGTAATTTGTCTCATAGAAATAGTACCCATAAGTCTGATTAATATTAGGGTGATTTCTAACTTTCCCAAGTTGCACAGCTTCTTCTTTGTACTCATTCAGTTTCTCAATGGTCTTGGCTTCAACTTCTTTAAGAGCAAAGAATTTGCCTGTTGGCAAATGTTCTGCCTTGAAGATCTTAGTGTTCTTCTTGCTTGAGCCGAGCAAGTCAACTTTTTTGAAATCTTGCTTTCTGAACATATTTAAATTATCAATTTATTTAAAATGGAAGGGGTTTTGGGGTTTTGGGGTTTTGGGGTTTTGGGG